TGTTAACTGAAATATGTCAATTGGTATACCATCTATTCCTGGAGCCTTATTTTTTGCCATGTCCTTCAAAGCTGTTGCATAGCATAACAAATATGATTCGTGTCACTGAAGTGTACACTTAAAACTAATTGAAGCCATAAATAGATATTATGCACATTAAAAATGCCTAGGAAAAATTCAAACAGAAGCGCAATGAAGAAACAATAAAGAATATTTATCAACCAATATAAAGGAAAGCAAGAAAATAGAGGTAAAAAAATTTAATAGACAATTGGGTGAATAAAAAGTATAAAAAAGATATAAACATATCAGTAACTACATTAGAATAATCTAAATATTGCATTTAAAAGATCAAGCTTTTACTCTCATCAAAGACAGAAGAACAAAGAACAGCTTTAGCATTTCTTCTGCAAAACAGTGTGTGTACTCTCCTTACTGTGTAAAAGTCTTCTAAAAATGGGCAAAACCAGTCTTTTCACAAAAGGAGCGCACACACACACACACACATTCTACATATAAATAGATAGATGCTTAATATAAAGTCTGCTACACCATATCACTAAAATTATAGTAAATGCAGATCAAAAATACAATGTCATATCATTTCTTTTCATTAAAATAATATTGATAATTATTAGTAAATATAGATTGGAGAAGATATAGATTGAAATTCTTTCTTTTATAATCCTATTGGGAATGTATTGAAACAAAGATTTTGGAAAACAATTTGGTCTCCTTTTTGGATTTCAGTAACTAAATATTCGATAATATGTATATTCAGGGTTTTAAACTATTATTCATTGGAGTGAACCCAAGGTACTCAGCAACATCAATATATGCCAAAAAAGGAGATTTGGTGGTGCAGTGTTTTACTTGTTGAACTGCTAACCAAAAGATGAGTAATTCAAATTCACTAACCATTTTTTTAAATAAAATTTCAATTTAATTGTAATGTTAAAGAACATTTACAGAGAAGTTAGATTTTCATTCATGCATTGTTGCACATTTTACTCACTCTCCCTACCTCACCCCTCCCCCAGTTCACTTTAAAAAAAATTCATTCATTGTTGCACACTATCTTCCTCCTCCCTCACCCCAGTCCTCTTTACAATGATATCCCGCTTATTCTGAGATATTGTCTTACATAAAAATGCTCAATCATATTTTCCTTTTAGACAGATCTTTCTTTCATCTCTTCCAATGCAATGGTTACTATCAATCCACTCTTGAGGTTGACTGTTTCCTCCTGTGATGCTTTACAGACCTGGAACTCAATGGAGGGTCACCAAGAGTCAGAAAAGACTCCACAAAAGTGAATTTGGTTTGGAAGCCATGAGGGACAGTACTATAATTTCTTATAAAAACAAATCCAACCCATTGTCCTGAAGTAGATTCCATGATAACTTCCCTACATGTTTCAGAGGTTGTAAATCTTTATGGAAAGAGACTTTACATAAGATTTTATATCTTTCTCCATTAGGGTCAGGAAAATAATGATTCAAAGTGTTGACCTATCAGCTAGCAGTCAATAAGTCATGCATTACATGCACTTTAGTAATTGAATGGACCATTATGGTTTTTATTTTTATTTGTATGCACAACAAAATCCCTAGAGGCACAGGGGTTAAAGATGCCTGCCACTCTTGTGGAGAAAGGTGTAGCAGACTTGTGTTGTCAGCTTTTACAGCCTTGGGAACCCTAGGGAGCAGTTCTACTCTGACCTACAAAGTCACTATGAATCATGATTGATTTAATAGTTGTGGATTTTTGTCGTTCTTTGATATGCATAATATTGGTGACTCTTGAAAATTTTTACAATGTAATAGATTTTCTGGTATATTTTGGCTTTCCACATGATGATATTTAATAGTTACCTAATATTTTCAGCATCTGGAGATTTTGAAAATATGTTTTTATAGTTGTCAAAACTAGAAAACAAAATATTATTATTGATTCTGTACCTTTTCCTGAGCAGTGAAGAGAAAGTGGTGTACAATTTAGACTTGTTAAGAAAGCACAAATACAAAGATAATATTACATCAACAAAATTAACTCCTGTATTCAATTACAAAGTGAGTCTTCATTAGAAGATAAGTATTTTTAATAAGACTGATATTTCATTATAATTATGGCATATTAAGTTTTATGTTCCCTTTAGGGCACTATTTTAACAAAAGATTGTGAATTAAATTTGCATAACTTTGGAGCAATATTCCTACTTTACCCCTAAGAAGAAGAGTCAACATTGTAAATGTGAATGTAAAAAAATTAAACTATTTATGGAAAATTATTCTCAAGCTTTGGTATTCAGTCAGATCACCAAAAGGGCTTGTTAAAATACAAAGTCTGTTGCTAACTCTCAGAATTTCAATTCTGAAGGTTTGAGGTGGGGCCTGAGAATCATTTCTCAGGTGATGTTGATGCTCCTGCTACGGAACCACCACACCTCAGATTCAGATACCACTGAGCTCCTGCAGGAGCCAGAAAGCTGTCAAAGAAATGTGGTACCTCGCAGCTCAGGCTGTGAGTTCTGCCCACTGGCTTTTGAGGTGAATCACAATGCTCAGACTATCGTGTTCCCTGTGTCATAATTTATGTAAAATTTACTTCCAAAGGTCACTGAAATTTTTTTTATGCCTTGATAAGGAGACCTGATGGTGTTGTATGAAGATGTGTTGGGTTACTAACAAAATGATCGATGCCCAAATCCACCAAACATTGCAAAAGAACAACATTAGGCCATTTGATTCTGTTAAGTCTCAGAAACCCAATGAAACTTCACCTTGAGTTGGATTCAACAGTTATTACATGCATTGAGTAGTTTTTAACTCATAGCGACTCTATAAACAACAGACTAGAATTTTATCCTGACCTCACCATCTTCATGATCTGTGCCACACTGAAGGTGAATGAGGGAATTTTTGGTTGATTTGTTTTTGCTATTAGTTTGGGGGTTTCTTTTGTTGCTGGTTGGTTGTTGTGGGGGTTTTTTTGTTTTGTTTTTGATTGTTTGGTTTTTGGGTTTTGTTTTGTTTTGTTTTGTTTTGTTTTTACTGCTCTCTAGTTAATTCCATCGATTGCACTGAAAAATGGAATCAGTCCGGCTGGGCTGCCAGCCGGGAAGAGACCCAGGAAGAGCAACAGTCTGCCAGCCACCGCAGAAATCCAGAGGAACGAACATTGTGTG